CATTCAGATAAATTACTTGGAGGAGAAGAAAAGAAAAAGCTAGAGTTCTAGGTGGCAGTCAGATTTTGCTTCAGTATCTCCCTTCCTTGCTGCATTCCCATGTGCTGGACTCGGTCTAACTGCCAATTTGACTGCATTTTCCCCCTCCCTATGCCAGTCAAAGCCAGAGCAGAAGGCTCTCCTCACCCCCTGCCAGGGCTCTGCTCAGCTCACCCAGCAGGCAGAAGAGTGGCCATTCAGTTCTGCAAGGACTCAAGTGCCATGTGAAAGCCACCTGTGATTCAGGCCCTGCACAAACGCTTGGAAATCTGAACAGAAGTCAGACAAAAGTGTAAATGAAAAGGATATAACAGTAGATAACAGACTGAAACATTAAGCTCCATGATCGAGACTTCTGGAAGCACTACCTGGGAGGAAATAGTTTTCCATGTGTGCAGAAACTGGTACATCTTGGCCTCTGGGCTATGTTTTGATGAATGCTCTTGGTGAGTTTTTCAGCTAAAAGAAATGTACATTTCTCAAAGTCTCAAACATAGCCTTCTGTAACTTAAAAGATAATGCTCTCAGTGCACACTTCATTCCCTTTTTATATTAATTTACATTTCTCTCATTATTCTTAAAGGACAGAATATTTACTACCAAAAAGACAACAGATGCCAGACCTAACTAGTTTATAAGCAACAAAAAAGGTAAAGGAGCTGAACTGGCTTCTACAGTGGGTAAAGTGAGACTGAAAATTTCCAAGTCAGTTTTAAGATATTTTCCATGAGAAATAAAGCCAGGAGGAATTTTGCCACTTGTGCAAAATCCTGTGACTTGATAAACAGTTCATTCAGCACAGGATCTCCTCCCCCCCTCCCCTAAATTTTCACTCTCTTGAGGTCTGCTCTTCAGGGAAACCTGAGGTGGGAAAGAGCAAAGTTTGGCACTTCAGCATTCTTAGAAGGATATCCAAAGCTACCATATGTAATTTGCAAGGACAGAAGAGGTAAGACACAAAGAGGCTACATGCCTCTGATGTAAACTGCATAGGTAAGATTAATTATTGAGAAATAAAAATCCCTCTACAGACCCTTAAGCAAGCAAGCTTGAGATGACGTTATACAGTGCCTTGCATGAGAGGCCCATCTGACAGCAGTGCCTGTTCTCACAAAGACATGTTGGATACAAGATTTGATTTATTTCCCTATGCTGGACTTAACAGGAAGATGAAAACCTAGAGAATGCAAATCAGCAAACATCACAAAAAGCATCTCTTCTTCAGCAGGACTGTACACCCACCAGCTCATGAAGGAAAACTTAGATCTGGGCAGAACTCCTTTGGGGAGCACGGCAGGAGACTGAATTTTCAAGCCCAAACTCCATCTGCCTGGCAGATAGAGCATTAGCAGTTAATGTCCACGTGTTACCCACCTTTGATTTTTATGGTCCCAGACTCACAGAGTCATCCTCTTTGCCCTACAAAAGTTGAGCTAGCAAATGGTTCTTCTCCCTCAACCAAGCCTCCAGAGAGCACTTATCTAATGCTAAGCATTTTTTTTTTATACCAGTATAAATAAGAAAGGTCAAATAATATAAAAAAAACAAACATTTGTAAGACTCAGTTTGCTCTTGCTTTATCAGAAGATGCAACATGTAGGAGAAAACACAGTTACTTAATTTTGGCTAGTGCTGCTGCTCTCCTTTCTGTGTTCTGGAACAAGGCTCGGATCAGACTCTTCACTTCAGCTGCGGAGAATTCAGCTGCAAGAGGCCCCTTCCCATCCGCCCACCTGTGTGGGAGAGAAAGATCTTTATTTAACCAAACTGCACAGAAGTGTCATGTTAAAACAAGCCTTCCAAGCAATCGGTACAGCACTAAGTCTGAAAACAAAACAAATCCAGTTTGCAGCCTATTAGCTGTATGCAACTGGAGCCCAGAATTGTTTAACTTGGTACATGAAACAACAGGTTGTGAGGTGATTTTTGCACTCATTACAAACTGTATGTTTCTGTTGTAAGCCTAAAGCCTGTCTGCAAAATTCCCATTCACCTCCCAAACAAGGTGGGGGGGAAGTGGTTCTGCCCAGACAGAAGTATAGTTGGGATGCTTTGGTGTCTAATAGGGTTCCAGCAGCAGCAATAAGCAGGGCACAGAAAAGCAACTGCCTTCCCTGTGTGCTTTCTCCATGGCTGGTACCTTTTCAGTTGAGCCTGCTGAGGACAGTATGTTTTCTTGCCATTCAGATGTATGTGTGAGGCGGCTGTGAACAGGGAATGTCTAGCTTCTGACAACTCATGCCAACTAAAGTAACAGAAATAATTATGCAAATCATATTTTATAACTCGGATGAAGCCCCCTTGCAAGTTAAAAGAAGCAAGAAACAGCATCTAAAAAGCAGAAGCCAATCACATGGAACAACTGGAGGAGCAAGGCAAGAGCCAACGTCAGAAGCAGTAGGCAAAATGCCAGGCTGTTACTGTGAAACACTTCTCAAACTAAAGAAGCTAAGGGGGATGCATAATTGCTCTGTGGTTGGCCCTCCCACAGCACTTGTTTTTTAATCATTGCTTTTCTTTTCCAGGAAACAGCTGAATATTTGAGCAAGATTGAAATGGACTGTAAACACAGCCAAGAAACAGACCCAGGAACAGTTATCTGATCCTTATTAACAGTGATTGCCTGTCATCTGAACAGAGTCCCCCGAGTGCAGCACCCTGCTGATGTCAGACCACTTCCCAGCTCCCTGTTATTGGAGCGAAGAACTGAAAAGAAGGAAGACACCTACTGATCTACTATTTCTTGGAGGTTGGCTTGCAAGATGATCATCAGCTCTTTGAACGTCATCCACTTCTGCACATAGACTGGAACTTCCTGTTGGTATTTCTTGTTTTTGTCTTCTTCAGGTAGTGGGGTGAAAACTTGGGGTCCTTCTTCCACCATGGTCCTACAGAGGGAGTACAATCTATCTGCATCTTCTGCAGAGATGTCCTAGAATCAAACAAACATTAACAAGGGGAACGGTTAGATATATTTTTGGAGTGCCAACCAGTAAGTGAAATGGCTGTGTGTGTGTGAAGATGAAAGCAGTGATGACGTTAATACTCACAAGCTAATATAACTAATTTCATTAATAGCTATTTCAGCAAGTTCTCAGTGATTGCCTCAGAACAATGGTTGTGCTTCTGACCAGTGTATCTTAGTGCAGCAGCACGCACTTACTGTGAAGTGGAGGTGTTATGATGAAGGTCTGAACAGTTTACAGAGAAATTGCTCAGACATTGGCAGCCCACTGATGAAAGCCCAGCTTTTTGGCAGGCACAGCCTGAGCAAGTGTCCTGTAAACTAGCTGTTGTGGGAAAAGAGGGCTTATTTGCCTGATGGATAGTGGAAGGCTCTTTGGATGCAGACTACAACTAGAACAGATGCGCTAACATATTTCTCTCATTTGCTATGAAAATATCCTTTAATTAAGAAACGTAATAGGATAGCTGTACTTGACCTCAGGTAACCTGACAATCACTTAAACCTAGTACTAGGAGGTTTAAACAGGTCAGAATTTTGGTTTGAAATGCCACAGGTATTTTGGCATCTGGTGCCTAGTTAGGATGGAAAGGTGCACTAGAGATGCAGAGATAGATGGAGTTTGAGACAATTTAACTCCTGTGCCCTGAACAAAGGAAGAAATCGATTCATAGAAACATTTTTAGTAGGAGTGACACACCTAAATCCCAATTAAGGTGCAATCAGAGCCGCTTCCTTGACTCTCCCTTTGACTACACAGAGTCACAGAATTGCTGTAAAGAGTATACATGGTCTCAACTGGATGTGAGTTAGTGGTATCTTGAATGTTTCTCATAGACAGGACCACAAATATAATTTCTGTGAAAGATAACTGTTCCCCTGTAAACCTCATCTTGGAAAGAACTCCTAGAGGTCACAAATGTTCTGCCTGGCGTGTCCATCTCACGCACTTACCTCTAGGGCAGCAATCCTAGTGACAATCTCTGTGAGAGCTGTGTTCAGTAAAGTCCCCATAGCCTTGCAGTATACGTTCACTGGAAGGACATCTTGCCAGACTTTTCCCAGTCTCTTCAACTGATGCAATACCTGGAAGATAACACATCAAAAACATTAAAAGAGGCACTAAACGATAAGGTGACTGCATATGGTCAGAAACCGGTCGGAAAGAAGCCAAAGGCAATCAAGTATCCTGCCATCGTGCAGAGTGGATGTTCTTGGGAGAAAATGAAACGTGTTCAGTTTGTGTTAAGGCTCATCAAAAGCATGACAGATTTTTCCCTTGAAAAATGAAAAACACTATAAAGGTACTATAAACAAAAGTTCAAGATTAAGAAGCTTTTCATTTCAACGTGCAGCAAGAGGAACTGAACTTGGCATGCTTCAATTTACAGAAAGACACAGCCCAGAGGAAAAGAAAAAAATGCCAGAAAATTGTTTTGAAAAGTTCTGCACAGTTCTGAGGACTGAGATTACATACTGTAATCCCAAGGACAACATCTACAGCCAATGGGATGTTTGGCTTTGATTGCCTTGCTTACCTGCCTTATTGCTTTGTTTGCTGCACAGTAATTTTCCTCATCGTCCATGTTAGAAAAATTCCTGGCACTCGACAGCCTCTCCAGGATTTCTCCTTTCTGCACTCGCATCTGAGCCAGAAAACACTCCATCCCTTTAGGAGCAAAAACAAGCAGAGAAGCAATTACTAAACTTGCTCTGCTAATTTAGAGACTGTAAGTAAGTGCTGAATAATGAACTTGGTATGTTTTATTTTTAAAGGAATTTCCAGTCTCTAAATATAATAAGATAAAGAAAATATCAAAGGACTGAGCAGCAGATCCCAAAATATCTGAGTGCCACATCTTGCTGGATAATGAACTGTTCTGGGAACTATGTGCTGGACAAGAAGAGTTGGGTTTCAAGGAGTCAAGCCCTAAACTGCCATCGTGGTTAGAGTCATAACGCCCTGTCAGACTTCCCGATCCAGAAAACGTCCTTGCTACTTCTCCAAAACTCTAAGTAACAATTCATTGCCCGACTCAGTAGCCACCCTTACATTAAATCATTCAGCCACAAATACCAGGATTAATTACCACGTCATCCATCAATATATTTCAGTATTGAAAGGAAAAATTACCAAGCCTCCTAAAACCAGGTACCAGATCTACAAAAGTGGCTGCTCCGTCACACAGGATGTTAGTCAGGCGGTATCGGAACTGGTGTCCCAGCGTGAGCAAGTGGTGAGCGATATACATACAGTTGTTGTGGTGAATGGCTGCCAGCTGGGGTAATTTCTGAAGGTTCTCCCTGTCCAGGAAGGAGGAACAGAAAAGGGAAAAATGTATTTATTTAGACCTGGCTCTGTTTAAAAAAAAAATAGTCGTGGCTACTCTAGAGAAATTCAGGGTCTAAGATGGGTGTTGCAAGTAACTGACTGTGGGCAATGCCAGGTAAAGACATCAGTTGGAATAAAAGTATTTAACCTCCTGCCACACCCACAC